CTGGAGTGTTAGAAGAGCTGTGACCTATGCGTGCTCCTTACACATGGGTAGCGGTAGCGGCAAGTGTGTTGTGTTTGTTCATGCGGAGGGTGTGCCTTGTGGTTGTTTCTTTCTCGCGGTGCTTAAAGAAGCCAGCGCAAGATGGGCAACACCGAGACGATTTTCGAGGCCTTGGACAAGTGATGCTAACGGCGTCAGTTTCCTTGAAGACATCGGGTGTTTGGAGTGTCTGAATGTTTGCAAAATTCCAGCGAGTTGCTGCTAAGCATTTGCGTGCATGTGTGGTTGAGTGCAAGTGCGTGCTGGACGACTTAACTTGTATTCCATCGGCAAGACTGGCCTTGTGACAGGAGGAGCCTACGACCATGCAGAGCGCTGTGCATGCCCTTTGCTGGCATCAGTGATCGAGCTCGTTTGAGCTCTTGACATGCTTCGCGCGACGACAATCTGTGCCACTAGAACCTGTTGACAATGGATTTGGCTGGGCTGCTGCGCAATTTCGTAAGTGTGGCTCAGTTTGTAGTAGTAGTAGTAGTAGTAGTAGTAGTAGTAGTAGTAGTAGCAGCAGTAGTAGTAGTAGTAGTGCAGCCGCTCTGGCCGCAGCGGCGTGGCAGTCGTCGTTGGTAGCATTTAGCGGTAGACAGTCTGCTAGTTATAGTAGCTATTATTAGTAGTGCGTGCAGGACTATAAGTGCCAGTAGTAGGAGTGTTTCTCGCGGACCCGCTCGAGGCTCCATTGGCTTCTTATGGCTGTAGGTGCGAGGACCAAAGGTCAGCGGGGCTGGTTGGTGACTCCGACATGGAATTACCTTAACTTAGTGATCCTGCTGAAGCTTAGCCTTAAGCAACGAGTCACCCGCCAGTCAGCAGCGGCCGGGAGGGGGCTCAGACGGGTTCAGAGATTTGGACTTCGGGCACTTTGCTCTGCGCCGGGTTGCTGAAGGACACATGGGTGATGCGCAAGGAGGCTGTGGAGGCCACAGTGCATTAATAGTAATAACCCCCCCATGCATCTAGCGCTCTTACCACTATTTCTTCTTAGGCGGGGTGTGTATGTGAGCCTGGAGTTAGGGGTGGGGCGCGAAATCCGAGACGGTCCGAAATTTGGCGCTCCCCCATTCACATCGCAGTTAATTTAGTAGCGCCGTTCATACAAAAAAGTTCCGAATCGAATTCGGATATTCCGAAATTTCCATTCGAGATTCCATCGGAACGCACCCTAGTTCTTAAGATCCGGCCCCTCTCAAAAGTTTGGAACTTTGGGATTCTGGCTACCAGTATTTCTGATTCGGGGGAGGGGTTGTATTATCAGTGGGAAGTGGCCATTAACAGTTTTACACACTCTTGCGGGCTCTGCTTTCCACTTCGAACAACATGCAACGCGCGGATTTACAAATCCGCATGTCGTCGGTCTTGACTGATGGGTTCTCAATTTGCCACACCTCCTGCTCATGCTTCCAATACGCCAAGCTACCGATTGGCAGAGCTATACATAAGCTTTGCACTAAATTGGGCTTGACAATCATGGCTGACAAGCATTGCATGTGTCAGCCGCGCGGATGTGTGGACAGGCCTGCAGGGGATTTGGGATGATGAGCGGGGTCTCCTTTTGCAGGGCCTACTTGCGGAGAACGCGAATCTGAAGGCTGGTCGCTAGCCGCTAGCGGTTGACAGCCGGAAGAACGGCACAGTTGTCTTTTTTGTCTGAGGACGACTTGGGTTGCAGCGCCAGGCGCAACTCCGCCGAATGGCCGACAAGCTCCAGCACGCGCGCCGTCCCCCAGCCGCAGGGTATCGGGCTACGGATGCAGATGCAGCAGCACGTTTGAGGCACAGCTGCGGAGTTTCGCATCGCGCCTCGGCCACGAACTGCCCTTCCGGGCCGCTGCTCGCGCGCTGGCGAAGTGAAGAAAAGAATGCTGCTTTCATCGCCTTTGCACAAACTGCGCCGACGATCGCGGGATTCTAGTGCTAGTGGTCTCCGGGACGAGCAGCCATAATAATGGTTACACAGCAGAGCGCGCCGGAGCCGGGACCCGACCAAAAAGAGAAACGCACCGAATCATCGCCGGGCTCACGGCACTCTTTGCAACAGCTACACTGCCATTGAACGTCCAGTTGGAAAGAGCACAGGGCTCGGACTCAGCAAGAGCAAACAGCGTGATCGTGGAACATGGCATGGGGAGGCATGAAACCAATATGTCCAGCTGCTTCTAGTGCAGAGCGTGCCTCTACGCCTAACTCAGCAAGCTGCACTTCTCCCACTATTTAACAGCGAGAAATCGGTTCATCTGCCCTACAACCTGGCGAATGGTGCAGTCGGAGGAAGGAGACCCCGAGCAGCTGTTTTGACTTCGACACAGGCTCAACGAATAAGCTTCAGGCGACCGAGAGTGCCGGAGAGTTCTTGCAGCAGGAATCTCATGTCGTCGCATTCATTTCACCTCCCTCCACCTCAAAGTCATCAAATCGGCAGTGAAGTGTGCCTGAGAGGCCATCAGTCGACGGGGTATCTTGCTGATGCAGCCCTGCAGTCTAAAAACTTTGCATGGATCCAGTCTGGACTTTCGAGCTGCCATTTTTCTCGGCGCAAGGTTAGGCGACTGGTGTAGATCGAGCCCTTTTTGCAGCCTAGTCGCGAAGCATGGCGCCGGTTGGCGTACCTCCGTTGCCAAAGGCGGCATCAACCCGTGTGGCGACTTGGCTGGTTATGGACATGGGATCCAAAGAGGACCAGTGCTTCGGTTTGGGCCTGTGATCGCTTGATCTTATCTTCCGCCCTCCAACCGAAGTCCAGAGTTCTACGAGGTTGGGTTGTGTTGAAGCGACGGCTTCTCAGGTCTCCCGAGTGGTCGGTTCGGAGCCCGGACTTAGAGTTTCCGGGGGCATTCGGCGATGAAATGATCTTCGGACTCTGAGGTGCTACTCAGCACTTGTGTGGTCCTGAGATGCGGTGCTCAGATCGTCTGTGGGCTTGCCGGCATTTACCGGCGATGAGGCCCCCCATCCATGTGCGCACGCGCACCCCGCCGCGGTTCCGCAACGGCTCTCCCTCGCCGATGAGCCTGACGAGCAGTTTGGCTGGACTCGGCTTGAGTGATACTGTAGTCAAGGCTGTTGTGGCTTTTTGAGATGCCACTTTGCAGGTCTTTGGCCAGTGCGGTTCAGAGTGTTACAGGCATCTAGAGTTTGGGAGGTTTGAAGGACTCTGAAGGCGGCGTTGGGTGCACCATTCGGGCCCCGTTAAAGCTTTGGGTTTAGGTTGTGATCACGGCTTGAGGGCGTGACTATTATCTGTTGTTTCGAGAGGGGTGAAGGCAGGTATGCGCCCGTGTGTGTGTGTGTGCGTATGTATGTATGTATGTATGCATGTATGTATGTATGTATGCATGTATGTATGTATGTATGTGCACGTGTGTATGTATGTATGTATGTATGTATGTATGTATGTATATGTACGTATTATATATATATATATATATATATATAATACGTACATATGTATAACTGCAGATGTATGTGACGAACGTGTGTATGTGTGTGTGGCGTTCCCTGAGCAACTTGGATTGACTAAGACTCTGTTGCTGTTCGAAGTTTCTTTCATGTTCTGTCCGAAACTGCAAAATGCAAGCGGTTTACGATTTGCTACATCGCTCTGGAGGCCATGGCATGCTTCCTGTGCAGGCGTGTCCTGCTGCGGCTTCAGAGTTCAGTCCTTCACGAGCACCACTGAGCACCAGTCGTACAACCCGCTCTGACCACAGTCGTGCCACGTGTCGCCCATGACGCCGCGCCGGGCAGCACCCTCAAGTGCTTGTGAAATCGATTGAGGAAAACTTCAGGAGTCCTGTTTAATGGAATCATATGGAATCTGCGTCAGGTCCAAGGCAACCCCCGGATCCAGAGCAATGGTCATGCTGCCGAGCTCTCAAACGACGAGCATCGCTGGAGTGGGGACTTGTGAAGCATTCTGCTTAGGCTGATGGTCCGGAGACCCCAGCTAAGGAGGCCTGCAGTTCTGGGCTTGGTTCAGTCGTTGCTGCGGGACGTTGCACGGCGCTTTCTGGTTGGGTGGTTCAGTTCCTTCGGTTGGCACTGCCAGTCGGATCTTTTCTGCGGATTGCTTGGACATGAGCGTGCTGAACACTGCTCTGCTTGGCACCTTAAACGTTGCAAATGTGTCTTTCGTTTATTGTGATTTGTTATGTGTTGTTGTGCTGTTTTGTCTTTTTCTGAACTGAATTATCGTTGATAGGTCTGTCGGGCTGCTTCGCTTTGTTCTTTGTGTTGTCTTTTCATGCTTTACGTCCTCATTTCTGGGTCTTTCGTTCCTTGTTTTCTTCCCCGAACCCCCCACTCCACAAGTTCGAGAGCAGAGACGAGGCAACAGAAGTGCTCAGTTATCCCATGTCTGCTAGAACTGCTAGAACTAGGAAGGGGCTCCAGCGCGCTTTTCGATGGCGCAATCCCTTTCGGCCATGTCCGAAACAGACTTTGATTCCGCAGGTGATGGCGAGGACTCTGCAGCGAAGGCGAGCAGCTCAAGGACTCAATGCTCAAGATGTTGACGGGAGGCCGTTGAGCGCATCACCCAGGCTCGAAGAGTCAAATTCATCCTGTGCCGACGCCACAGCTGTTTCGGAACATCACGACCAGGAAGGGCGACGGTCTTTTGCGTTGCTTCTTATCTTTAACTGCCCGCCTGCTCTGTTTTGTTCTTTCAGGAGCTTCTGATGCTGAAGACGGGCGCTCAGCCAGAAACCGCACGCACGGCTTGCGAAGTGCAGCATGGCGTGTCCAGGTCTGATTTCGCGGCTGCGCAAGACGCGTGGCAGGTGCGAGGGGTATACTTTTGGTGCCTCGGGCTGGTTGTGCTCAGTAGCAGATTGCAGCATTTGGGCGCCACGCAACACAGGCGCAACAGCGTGAGGCTGAGGCCGGATAAGCTGGTTCACCGAAGGCTTCCAAACTGGTGTCCATGATTTGACGAAAGACAGGCCATGGTGGCTCAGCTGAAGCAGGAGTTGGCCACTTTGAAGGCTTGGTATGTCAACTTCTTGTCCTGTCTCTATTTAAATTGGGCTGTTTGGGAGGCCAACTCGGAACAAGTACAACAGTCGAAGCCTTGGCTGGCCACTGGAGGGCTTAATCGGGGCAGGATCCCTTCTGACTTAGCATGCCCTCTGCGAGGTCTCGGTCACAAGATGAGGCCTGGCGTGTCAAAACATCAAGTGTTGATCGTCGGCGCAATGTTGGTCGGGTGTCTGGGCGTGCTTGCTGTTGGTGCATAGGTGTTGGACACAAGGTATTATTTTGCGAAGTGAATTAAGTGATGGTATGTCGGTTTCACTTGCACTGACTTGCCAACGGATCCTCGCCATAATAATTTTCGACGTATGCTTGAGCCCACATCGAGTTGGCAAGGTGGACGTGTAATGTCGATCGAGTAAGATCGGTGGTTTTTCATGCGCTTCGCGACCGCACCATCCCCTGTGTCGCCACATCCGAAACAGATCTTTGTTTCGCAGGTGATCGTGGGAACCCTGCAACGAAGGCGTGCAGCTCAAGATGTTGAAAGAGGGTGCGGTGTTTCTGATGCTAGGAGGTCCGGTCAGCGTATAACCCAGGCTCGAAGAGGCAAATGCATCCTGTGCCGAAGCCGCAGCTGTTTCGGAACATCGCTACCAGGAAGGGCGACGGTGTTTTGGTTTGTTATCTTTAACTGCTCGCCTGCTCGGCCGTTTTCTTTCAGGAGCTTCTGATGCTGAAGACCCGCGCTCAGCCAGAAACCGCGCGGCTTGCGAAGTGCAGCATGGCGTGTCCAGGTCTGATTTCGCGGCTGCGCAAGACGCGTGGCAGGTGCCGTGGTTTTGCTACCTCGGGGTGGTTGCCTGGAGTAGCTTAGCAGATTTCAGCAGTGGTTTGGGCGTCGTGATGTTAAGGCCAAGTGAGCTGGTTCACCGAAGGCTTGCAAACTGGTGTCCATGATTTGACGAAAGACAGGCCATGGTGGCTCAGCTGATGCAGGAGTTGGCCACTTTGAAGGCTTGGTATGTTAACTTCTTGTCCTGTCTCTATTTAAATTGGGCTGTTTTGGAGGCCAACTCGGAACAAGTACAACAGTCGAAGCCTTGGCTGGCCACTGGAGGGCTTTATCGGGACGGGATCCCTTCTGACTTAGCATGCCCTTTGCGAGGTCTCGGTCACAAGATGAGGCCTGGCGTCTCAAAACATCAAGTGTTGATCGTCGGCGCAGTGTGGCATTAGATGTCGTTTTTTTTGTGATGTTCGCCGGCTGTCTGAGCACGCCCGCTGTTGGTGCATGGGTGCTGGAGGCAAAGCATTTGGTTAAGTATGCCGGTCGCACTTGCGAAAGGAACCATGTTTCGATATGCTCGAGCCCACATCGAGTTGGCAAGGTGGACGTGTAATGTCGATCGAGTAAGATCGGTGGCTTTTCATGCGCTTCGCGACCGCACCATCCCCTGTGTCGCCACATCCGAAACAGATTTTTGTTTCGCAGGTGATCGTGGGAACCCTGCAACGAAGGCGGGCAGCTCAAGATGTTGAAAGAGGGTGCGGTGTGTCTGATGCTAGGAGGTCCGGTCAGCGTATAACCCAGGCTCGAAGAGGCAAATGCATCCTGTGCCGAAGCCGCAGCTGTTTCGGAACATCGCTACCAGGAAGGGCGACGGTGTTTTGGTTTGTTATCTTTAACTGCTCGCCTGCTCGGCCGTTTTCTTTCAGGAGCTTCTGATGCTGAAGACGGGCGCTCAGCCAGAAACCGCACGCACGGCTTGCGAAGTGCAGCATGGCGTGTCCAGGTCTGATTTCGCGGCTGCGCAAGACGCGTGGCAGGTGCGAGGGGTATACTTTTGGTGCCTGGGGCTGGTTGTGCTCAGTAGCAGATTGCAGCATTTGGGCGCCACGCAACAGGCGCAACAGCGTGAGGCTGAGGCCGAATAAGCTGGTTCACCGAAGGCTTCCAAACTGGTGTCCATGGTTTGACGACAGACAGGCCATGGTGGCTCAGCTGATGCAGGAGTTGGCCACTTTGAAGGCTTGGTATGTTAACTTCTTGTCCTGTCTCTATTTAAATTGGGCTGTTTTGGAGGCCAACTCGGAACAAGTACAACAGTCGAAGCCTTGGCTGGCCACTGGAAGGCTTTATCGGGACGGGATCCCTTCTGACTTAGCATGCCCTTTGCGAGGTCTCGGTCACAAGATGAGGCCTGGCGTCTCAAAACATCAAGTGTTGATCGTCGGCGCAGTGTGGCAATATGGATGTCGTTTATTTGTGATGCTGGTCAGGTATCTGGGTGTGCTTCCTGTTAGTGCATTCGTGTTAGATGCAAGGCATTTTGTTAAAAGTGAGGGTATGCTGGTCTGACTTTTGCAAAAGGAACCCCAGCATCATGTTGTTTGACATGCTTGAGCCCACATCGAGTTGGCAAGGTGGATGTGTAATGGCGACCGAGTAAGATAGCCGCGGCTTTTCATGCGCATTGCGACCGCGCCATCCCTTGCGGCGCCATATCCGAAAACTTCGTTTCGCAGGTGATCGTGGGAACCCTGCAACGAAGGCGGGCAGCTCAAGATGTTGAAAGAGGGTGCGGTGTGTCTGATGCTAGGAGGTCCGGTCAGCGTATAACCCAGGCTCGAAGAGGCAAATGCATCCTGTGCCGAAGCCGCAGCTGTTTCGGAACATCGCTACCAGGAAGGGCGACGGTGTTTTGCTTTCTTATCTTCAATTGCTCGCCTGCTCGGCCGTTTTCTTTCAGGAGCTTCTGATGCTGAAGACTCGCGCTCAGCCAGAAACCGCACGCACGGCTTGCGAAGTGCAGCATGGCGTGTCCAGGTCTGATTTCGCTGCTGCGCAAGACGCGTGGCAGGTGCGAGGGGTATACTTTTGGTGCCTCGGGCTGGTTGTGCTCAGTAGCAGATTGCAGCATTTGGGCGTCACGCAACACAGGTGCAACAGCGTGAGGCTGAGGCCGGAGAAGCTGGTTCACCGAAGGCTTCCAGACTGGTGTCCATGATTTGACGAAAGACAGGCCATCGTGGCTCAGCTGAAGCAGGAGTTGGCCACTTTGAAGGCTTGGTATGAGAACTTCTTGTCCTGTCTCTATTTAAACTGGGCTGTTTGGGAGGCCAACTCGGAACAAGTACAACAGTCGAAGCCTTGGCTGGCCACTGGAGGGCTTAATCGGGACAGGATCCCTTCTGACTTAGCATGCCCTTTGCGAGGTCTCGGTCACAAGATGAGGCCTGGCGTCTCAAAACATCAAGCAATGTTGGTCGGGTGTCTGGGCGTGCTTGCTGTTGGTGCATAGGTGTTGGACACAAGGTATTATTTTGCGATGTAAATTAAGTGATGGTAAGTCGGTTTCACTTGCACTGACTTGCCAACGGATCCTCGCAATCATTTTCGACGTATGCTTGAGCCCACATCGAGTTCTCAAGGTGGATGTGTAACGGTGATAGAGTAAGATGGCGTTGTCTTTTGTGAAGCGCTTCGCGACCACACCATCCGTTGTGGCGTCATATCCGAAACAGATATTGGTTTCACAGGTGATCGTGGGAACCCCGCAGCGAACGCCCGCAGCTCAAGATGCCGAAAGGGCATGGCATGTCTGAAGCTAGGAGGGCCGTTGAGCGTATCACCCAGGCTCGAAGAGGCAAATGCATCCGGGGCCGAAGCAGAAGCCGTTTTGGAGCATCGTCACCAGGAGGGGCGACGGTGTTTTGCCTTGCTTCTCTCTCTTGTGCTGTCTCTACTTGTCTTAGTTCCTTATTGGGCTGTTTCGGAGGCCAACCTGGAACAAGCGCAACAGTCAAAGCCTTGGCTGGCCTTTGGAGGTGTTCGGTGTCCACTGTGTCCCGGCTTGCGTGCATCTTACGTCTTATGAGGTCTGCTGGTCAAGATCAGGCGTGGCGTGTGAAGGGCACCGTTCGTGATCGGTGCGTTCATTTTTGCAGCAGAGTTCAGCCGCATCATGTTACAGGTGCTCGCAAGCGCCCCGCAGGAAAGGCGGGCAGCTTGAGATGTTGTCAACTGGGGGACCGCAAGGTCTGTTGAAGGAATGGCCCAGGCTTGACGATGCCTCCCGTGCCGAAGCCGCAGCTGTTGGCCAGGACTGGTCAAGCTTATCGGTACGGTGACCTGAGCTGCGCAAAGGTGTTGATCTGTAGGATCCCAACTCGGCACCCAACGAGGGCAGCATCTCGACAGGTGTGCAAATGCAGGGAGCCTTGGCCAAACCCTTTTCCATTGTACAGTGCCGAGCCGATTTGAGGTCTAGCACCTCCGCTACGCCCACATCAGCGGCCCCGACATTGCTGCCCGGACCTTTGCAGGGAAAGCTGGGAAATGTGTCAATTTTGGAAGCGTCTGCATAAGACCGTCTACCGTTGAAGAAATTGAAGGGATGTTCGTTTCGCATTGTCATCACATCCCACCCAGGGAGACGAATGGAGACTTGTGAAATGCTTTCGAAAATCTCCCGGTTCCACACCTACTCTCCGACGCTGCTTGAGGAGGGAAGTGTCCGAAAGCCGTGGTGCCGTGGGGCTTCCAGCTCACAACGGCAGTTTTGTGGTGTATTTCTGTTGACAGAATCAAAATGCCCTTACAGCTGACTGATTGCGCGCCAACGGCTTCAAAGATATCGTCTGACAGGCTAGTCTCCCTCGAACTTTGCGGGTGCCGGGGCAGCTTTGCCAACAGATTTGTGCATGGTTTTGGTTTTGATCAAGAAGAGGACTGGTTGTGTTTAGATTTCGCGATTCGCCCGGACTCAGAGCCTCAGCAATCTGCTGAGCCCCCTCGGGACGACTTGAAAGACACCTCCGGCTTTTGTGCACCTTGAACTCGGGATGGAGGCAAGGGAAGACAAGCTTGCGGAAAGCCGAGCATTGCCCAGCAAGGAAGAGGTGACGAAGGGGCAAGAAGCATCTGCCAAGAAAGCTAGACAACAATTGTGTGCTTGAGCAGGACGAGAACCCCCGCAGCAGACGCAGTAGACTGGTCGGGGAAAGCTGTCCGCTCGCTGTAGTTTTTTGCGGGCTTGAAGGGCGATTGCAAGCTCGGAGCAGCTTGTAGCATTTCTTGGCAATTTGTAGCAGCCAAGGGCGGAGCAACGTCGCCGGCCGTGCTCACCTTAGGGGCAATGTCGGGACAGTCTTGGTGCATGCCGGTGGTACCTGAGGTCCCAAGCACTGAAAGACTGTGCCCAGAGCGGAAGCCTCTGCCGTGAATTTCAGGCCAACTTTGCGAGACTGTTTTGCCCAAAAAGCTACTGTAGCCTTGTTTCCGTGGCTGTGGCAATGCGAAGGCGACTGATGGAGGCTTGTGGCAATGCGAGGGCGTCCTAAACTTCGGACTCAGTGGTGAGGCCAAGGCCCGACTGAAAGCCAGCAACCGTCAGGCCCGGGATCCTCTGGGGGATCCGCTGGGCTTGGGCTTACCAGACTGCTGCTTGCTGTCCATGCCATCCCACATTCCGCAGGCAGAGGAAGATGCCGATCGAAGCAAAGAGCTGGCGGAGGCGATGTCGTCGAATTGTGTTCTAGCATTCCGTTGCAAGCCGAAGGGACTTGGGGGAGGCTCGTAATTGATGTGATGACATTGCGCATGGCCCTTGAAAGGAGCTCCGGGCCAAGTATCGCCAGCACTACGGCCATGAGCCAAAGGACGGCGCAACTTGCCCCAAAACAGCCGCAGGGTTTCGGGCTACGGATGCAGATGCAGCAGCACGTTTGAGGCACAGCTGCGGAGTTTCGCATCGCGCCTCGGCCACGAACTGCCCTTCCGGGCCGCTGCTCGCGTGCTGGCGAAGTGAAAAAAAGAATGCTGCTTTCATCGCCTTTGCACAAACTGCGCCGACGATCGCGGGATTCTAGTGCTAGTGGTCTCCGGGACGAGCAGCCATGATAATGGTTACACAGCAGAGCGCGCCGGAGCCGGGACCCGACCAAAAAGAGCAACGCACCGAATCATCGCCGGGCTCCGGCACTCTTTGCAACAGCTACACTGCCATTGAACGTCCAGTTGGAAAGAGCACAGGGCTCGGACTCAGCAAGAGCAAACAGCGTGATCGTGGAACATGGCATGGGGAGGCATGAAACCAATATGTCCAGCTGCTTCTAGTGCAGAGCGTGCCTCTACGCCTAGCTCAGCAAGCTGCACTTCTCCCACTATTTAACAGCGAGAAATCGGTTCATCTGCCCTACAACCTGGCGAATGGTGCAGTCGGAGGAAGGAGACCCCGAGCAGCTGTTTTGACTTCGACACAGGCTCAACGAATAAGCTTCAGGCGACCGAGAGTGCCGGAGAGTTCTTGCAGCAGGAATCTCATGTCGTCGCATTCATTTCACCTCCCTCCACCTCAAAGTCATCACATCGGCAGTGAAGTGTGCCTGAGAGGCCATCAGTCGACGGGGTATCTTGCTGATGCAGCCCTGCAGTCTAAAAACTTTGCATGGATCCAGTCTGGACTTTCGAGCTGCCATTTTTCTCGGCGCAAGGTTAGGCGACTGGTGTAGATCGAGCCCTTTTTGCAGCCTAGTCGCGAAGCATGGCGCCGGTTGGCGTACCTCCGTTGCCAAAGGCGGCATCAACCCGTGTGGCGACTTGGCTGGTTATGGACATGGGATCCAAAGAGGACCAGTGCTTCGGTTTGGGCCTGTGATCGCTTGATCTTATCTTCCGCCCTCCAACCGAAGTCCAGAGTTCTACGAGGTTGGGTTGTGTTGAAGCGACGGCTTCTCAGGTCTCCCGAGTGGTCGGTTCGGAGCCCGGACTTAGAGTTTCCAGGGGCATTCGGCGATGAAATGATCTTCGGACTCTGAGGTGCTACTCAGCACTTGTGTGGTCCTGAGATGCGGTGCTCAGATCGTCTGTGGGCTTGCCGGCATTTACCGGCGATGAGGCCCCCCATCCATGTGCGCACGCGCACCCCGCCGCGGTTCCGCAACGGCTCTCCCTCGCCGATGAGCCTGACGAGCAGTTTGGCTGGACTCGGCTTGAGTGATACTGTAGTCAAGGCTGTTGTGGCTTTCTGAGATTCCAATTTGCAGGTCTTTGGCCAGTGCGGTTCAGGGTGTTACAGGCATCTAGAGTTTGGGAGGTTTGAAGGACTCTGAAGACGGCGTTGGGTGCACCATTCGGGCATCACCCAAAGCCCCGTTAAAGCTTTGGGTTTAGGTTGTGATCACGGCTTGAGGGCGTGACTATTATCTGTTGTTTCGAGAGGGGTGAAGGTAGGTATACGCCTGTGTGTGTGTGTGGTGTGTGTGTGTGTGTGTATGTATGTATGTATGTATGTATGTATGTACGTATGTATGTATGTATGTATGTATGTGTACGTATATATATATATATATATATACATGTATAACTGCGGATGTATGTGACGAACGTGTGTGTGTGTGGCGTTCCCTGAGCAACTTGGATTGACTAAGACTCTGTTGCTGTTCGAAGTTTCTTTCATGTTCTGTCCGAAACTGCAAAATGCAAGCGGTTTACGATTTGCCACATCGCTCTGGAGGCCATGGCATGCTTCCCGTGCAGGCGTGTCCTGCTGCGGCTTCAGAGTTCAGTCCTTCACGAGCACCACTGAGCACCAGTCGTACAACCCGCTCTGACCACAGTCGTGCCACGTGTCGCCCATGACGCCGCGCCGGGCAGCACCCTCAAGTGCTTGTGAAATCGATTGAGGAAAACTTCAGGAGTCCTGTTTAATGGAATCATATGGAATCTGCGTCAGGTCCAAGGCAACCCCCGGATCCAGAGCAATGGTCATGCTGCCGAGCTCTCAAACGACGAGCATCGCTGGAGTGGGGACTTGTGAAGCATTCTGCTTAGGCTGATGGTCCGGAGACCCCAGCTAAGGAGGCCTGCAGTTCTGGGCTTGGTTCAGTCGTTGCTGCGGGACGTTGCACGGCGCTTTCTGGTTGGGTGGTTCAGTTCCTTCGGTTGGCACTGCCAGTCGGATCCTTTTTGCGGATTGCTTGGACATGAGGGGCATATCGTGCATAGTGGTTGTCCGATGTCCACCGTGCTGAACACTGCTCTGCTTGGCACCTTAAACGGTGCAAATGTGTCTTTCGTTTATTGTGATTTGTTTTTGTGTTGTTGTGCTGTTTTGTCTGTTTCTGAACTGAATTATCGTTGATAGGTCTGTCGGGCTGCTTCGCTTTGTTCTTTGTGTTGTCTTTTCTTTCTTTACGTCCTCATTTCTGGGTCTTTCGTTCCTTGTTTTCTTCCCCGAACCCCCCACTCCACAAGTTCGAGAGCAGAAACGAGGCTACAGAAGTGCTGAGTTATCTCATGTCTGCTAGAACTGCTAGAACTAGGAAGGGGCTCCAGCGCGCTTTTCGATCGCGCAATCCCTTTCGGCCATATCCGAAACAGACTTTGATTTCGCAGGTGATGGCGAGGACTCTGCAGCGAAGGCGAGCAGCTCAAGGACTCAATGCTCAAGATGTTGACGGGGGGCCGTTGAGCGCATCACCCAGGCTCGAAGAGTCAAATTCATCCTGTGCCGACGCCACAGCTGTTTCGGAACATCGCTACCAGGAAGGGAGACGGTCTTTTGCGTTGCTTCTTATCTTTAACTGCCCGCCTGCTCTGTTTTGTTCTTTCAGGAGCTTCTGAAGCTGAAGACCGGCGCTCAGCCAGAAACCGCACGCACGGCTTGCGAAGTGCAGCATGGCGTGTCCAGGTCTGATTTCGCGGCTGCGCAAGATGCGTGGCAGGTGCGAGGGGTATACCTTTGGTGCCTCGGGCTGGTTGTGCTCAGTAGCAGATTACAGCATTTGGGGGCCACGCAACACAGGCGCAACAGCGTGAGGCTGAGGCCGGATAAGCTGGTTCACCGAAGGCTTCCAAACTGGTGTGCATGATTTGACGAAAGACAGGCCGTGGTGGCTCAGCTGATGCAGGAGTTAGCCACTTTGAAGGCTTGGTATGTCAACTTCTTGTCCTGTCTCTATTTAAATTGGGCTGTTTGGGAGGCCAACTCGGAACAAGTACAACAGTCGAAGCCTTGGCTGGCCACTAGAGGGCTTTATCGGGACAGGATCCCTTCTGACTTAGCATGCCCTTTGCGAGGTCTCGGTCACAAGATGAGGCCCGGCGTCTCAAAACATCAAGGGTTGATCGTCGGCGCAGTGTGGCAATATAGATGTCGTTTATTTGTGATGCTGGTCAGGTATCTGGGTGTGCTTGCTGTTAGTGCATTCGTGTTAGATGCAAGGCATTTTGTTAAAAGTGAGGGTATGCTGGTCTGACGTTTGCAAAAGAAACCCCAGCATCATGTTGTTTGACATGCTTGAGCCCACATCGAGTTGGCAAGGTGGATGTGTAATGGCGATTGAGCAAGATCGGTGGCTTTTCATGCGTTTCGCGACCCCTCCATGCCATGTGGCGCCACATCCGAAACAGATTTTTGTGTCGCAGGTGATCGTGGGAACCCTGCAACGAAGGCGTGCAGCTCAAGATGTTGAAAGAGGGTGCGGTGTTTCTGATGCTAGGAGGTCCGGTCAGCGTACAACCCAGGCTCGAAGAGGCAAATGCATCTTGTGCCGAAGCCGCAGCTGTTTCGGAACATCGCTACCAGGAAGGGCGACGGTGTTTTGCTTTCTTATCTTTAACTGCTCGCCTGCTCGGCCGTTTTCTTTCAGGAGCTGCTGATGCTGAAGACCCGCGCTGAGCCAGAAACCGCACGCAAGGCTTGCGAAGTGCAGCATGGCGTGTCCAGGTCTGATTTCGCGGCTGCGCAAGACGCGTGGCAGGTGCCGCGGTTTTGCTACCTCGGGGTGGTTGCCTGGAGTAGCTTAGCAGATTTGAGCAGTGGTTTGGGCGTCGTGATGTTAAGGCCAAGTGAGCTGGTTCACCGAAGGCTTCCAAACTGGTGTGCATGATTTGACGAAAGACAGGCCGTGGTGGCTCAGCTGATGCAGGAGTTAGCCACTTTGAAGGCTTGGTATGTCAACTTCTTGTCCTGTCTCTATTTAAATTGGGCTGTTTGGGAGGCCAACTCGGAACAAGTACAAGTACAACAGTCGAAGCCTTGGCTGGCCACTAGAGGGCTTTATCGGGACAGGATCCCTTCTGACTTAGCATGCCCTTTGCGAGGTCTCGGTCACAAGATGAGGCCCGGCGTCTCAAAACATCAAGCGTTGATCGTCGGCGCAGTGTGGCAATAGATGTCGTTTATTTGTGATGTTCGCCGGCTGTCTGAGCACGCCCGCTGTTGGTGCATGGGTGCTGGAGGCAAAGCATTTGGTTAAGTATGCCGGTCGCACTTGCGAAAGGAACCATTTTTCGATATGCTCGAGCCCACATCGAGTTGGCAAGGTGGATGTGTAATGTCGATCGAGTAAGATCGGTGGCTTTTCATGTGCTTCGCGACCGCACCAACCCCTGTGTCGCCACATCCGAAACAGATTTTTGTTTCGCAGGTGATCGTGGGAACCCTGCAACGAAGGCGCGCAGCTCAAGATGTTGAAAGAGGGTGCGGTGTTTCTGATTCTAGGAGGTCCGGTCAGCGTACAACCCAGGCTCGAAGAGGCAAATGCATCCTGTGCCGAAGCCGCAGCTGTTTCGGAACATCGCTACCAGGAAGGGTGACGGTGTTTTGCTTTCTTATCTTTAACTGCTCCCCTGCTCGGCCGTTTCCTTTCAGGAGCTTCTGATGCTGAAGACCCGCGCTCAGCCAGAAACCGCACGCACGGCTTGCGAAGTGCAGCATGGCGTGTCCAGGTCTGATTTCGCGGCTGCGCAAGATGCGTGGCAGGTGCGAGGGGTATACTTTTGGTGCCTCGGGCTGGTTGTGCTCAGTAGCAGATTACAGCATTTGGGCGCCACGCAACACAGGCGCAACAGCGTGAGGCTGAGGCCGGATAAGCTGGTTCACCGAAGGCTTCCAAACTGGTGTGCATGATTTGACGAAAGACAGGCCGTGGTGGCTCAGCTGATGCAGGAGTTAGCCACTTTGAAGGCTTGGTATGTCAACTTCTTGTCCTGTCTCTATTTAAATTGGGCTGTTTGGGAGGCCAACTCGGAACAAGTACAAGTACAACAGTCGAAGCCTTGGCTGGCCACTAGAGGGCTTTATCGGGACAGGATCCCTTCTGACTTAGCATGCCCTTTGCGAGGTCTCGGTCACAAGATGAGGCCCGGCGTCTCAAAACATCAAGCGTTGATCGTCGGCGCAGTGTGGCAATATAGATGTCGTTTATTTGTGATGCTGGTCAGGTATCTGGGTGTGCTTGCTGTTAGTGCATTCGTGTTAGATGCAAGGCATTTTGTTAAAAGTGAGGGTATGCTGGTCTGACGTTTGCAAAAGGAACCCCAGCATCATGTTGTTTGACATGCTTGAGCCCACATCGAGTTGGCAAGGTGGATGTGTAATGGCGACCGAGTAAGATAGCCGCGGCTTTTCATGCGCTTCGCGACCGCACCAACCCCTGTGTCGCCACATCCGAAACAGATTTTTGTTTCGCAGGTGATCGTGGGAACCCTGCAACGAAGGCGCGCAGCTCAAGATGTTGAAAGAGGGTGCGGTGTTTCTGATTCTAGGAGGTCCGGTCAGCGTACAACCCAGGCTCGAAGAGGCAAATGCATCCTGTGCCGAAGCCGCAGCTGTTTCGGAACATCGCTACCAGGAAGGGTGACGGTGTTTTGCTTTCTTATCTTTAACTGCTCCCCTGCTCGGCCGTTTCCTTTCAGGAGCTTCTGATGCTGAAGACCCGCGCTCAGCCAGAAACCGCACGCACGGCTTGCGAAGTGCAGCATGGCGTGTCCAGGTCTGATTTCGCGGCTGCGCAAGATGCGTGGCAGGTGCGAGGGGTATACTTTTGGTGCCTCGGGCTGGTTGTGCTCAGTAGCAGATTACAGCATTTGGGCGCCACGCAACACAGGCGCAACAGCGTGAGGCTGAGGCCGGATAAGCTGGTTCACCGAAGGCTTCCAAACTGGTGTCCATGATTTGACGAAAGACAGGCCGTGGTGGCTCAGCTGATGCAGGAGTTGGCCACTTTGAAGGCTTGGTATGTCAACTTCTTGTCCTGTCTCTATTTAAATTGGGCTGTTTGGGAGGCCAACTCGGAACAAGTACAAGTACAACAGTCGAAGCCTTGGCTGGCCACTAGAGGGCTTTATCGGGACAGGATCCCTTCTGACTTAGCATGCCCTTTGCGAGGTCTCGGTCACAAGATGAGGCCTGGCGTCTCAAAACATCAGGCATTGATCGTCGGCGCAATGTTGGTCGGGTGTCTGGGCGTGCTTGCTGTTGGTGCATAGGTGTTGGACACAAGGTATTTTGCTAAGTGAGTCAAATGATGGTATGTCGGATTCGCTTGTACTGACTTGCCAACGGATTCTCACCGTTATCATTTTCGACATATGCTCGAGCCAACATCGAGTTCTCAAGGTGGATGTGTAACGGTGATAGAGTAAGATGACGTTGTCTTGTGAAGCGCTTCGCCACTACACCATCCGTTGTGGCGTGATATCCGAAACAGATATTGGTTTCACAGGTGATCGTGGGAACCCGGGAGCGAACGCCCGCAGCTCAAGATGCCGAAAGGGCATGGCATGTCTGAAGCTAGGAGGGCCGTTGAGCGTATCACCCAGGCTCGAAGAGGCAAATGCACCCGGGGCCGAAGCAGAAGTTGTTTTGGAGCATCGTCACCAGGAGGGGCGACGATGTTTTGCCTTGCTTCTCTCTCTTGTGCTGTCTCTACTTGTCTTAGTTCCTTATTGACTTATTGGGCTGTTTCGGAGGCCAACCTGGAACAAGCGCAACAGTCGAAGCCTTGGCTGGCCTTTGGAGGTGTTCGGTGTCCACTGTGTCCCGACTTGCGTGCATCTTACGACTTATGAGGTCTGCTGGTCAAGATCAGGCGTGGCTTGTGAAGGGCACCGTTCGTGATCGGTGCGTTCATTTTTGCAGCAGAGTTCAACCGCATCATGTTACAGGTGCTCGCAAGCGCCCCGCAGGAAAGGTGGGCAGCTTGAGATGTTGACAACTGGGGGAACGCAAGGTCTGTTGAAGGAATGGCCCAGGCTTGACGATGCCTCCCGTGCCGAAGCCGCAGCTGTTGGCCAGGACTGGTCAAGCTTATCGGTACGGTGACCTGAGCTGCGCAAAGGTGTTGATCTGTAGGATCCCAACTCGGCACCCAACGAGGGCAGCATCTCGACAGGTGTGCAAATGCAGGGAGCCTTGGCCAAACCCTTTTCCATTGTACAGTGCCGAGCCGATTTGAGGTCTAGCACCTCCGGTACGCCCACATCAGCGGCCCCGACATTGCTGCCCGGACCTTTGCAGGGAAAGCTGGGAAATGTGTCAATTTTGGAAGCGTCTGCATAAGACCGTCTACCGTTGAAGAAATTGAAGGGATGTTCGTTTCGCATTGTCATCACATCCCACCAAGGGAGACGAATGGAGACTTGTGAAATGCTTTCGAAAATCTCCCTGTTCCACACCTACTCTCCGACGCTGCTTGAGGAGGGAAGCGTCCGAAAGCCGTGGTGCCGTGGGGCTTCCAGCTCACAACGGCAGTTTTGTGGTGTATTTCTGTTGACAGAATCAAAATGCCCTTACAGCTGACTGATTGCGCGCCAACGGCTTCAAAGATATCGTCTGACAGGCTAGTCTCCCTCGAACTTTGCGGGTGCCGGGGCAGCTTTGCCAACAGATGTGTGCATGGTTTTGGTTTTGATCAAGAAAAGGACTGGTTGTGTTTAGATTTCGCGATTCGCCCGGACTCAGAGCCTCAGCAATCTGCTGAGCCCCCTCGGGACGACTTGAAAGACACCTCCGGCTTTTGTGCACCTTGAACTCGGGATGGAGGCAAGGGAAGACAAGCTTGCGGAAAGCCGAGCATTGCCCAGCAAGGAAGAGGTGACGAAGGGGCAAGAAGCATCTGCCAAAAAAGCTAGACAACAATTGCGTGCTTGAGCAGGACGAGAACCCCCGCAGCAGACGCAGTAGACTGGTCGGGGAAAGCTGTCCGCTCGCTGTAGTTTTTTGCGGGCTTGAAGGGCGATTACAAGCTCGGAGCAGCTTGTAGCATTTCTTGGCAATTTGTAGCAGCCAAGGACGGAGCAACGTCGCCGGCCGCGCTCACCTTAGGGGCAATGTCGGGACAGTCTTGGTGCATGCCGGTGGTACCTGAGGTCCCAAGCACTGAAAGACTGTGCCCAGAGCGGAAGCCTCTGCCGTGAAGTTCAGGCCAACTTTGCGAGACTGTTTTGCCCAAAAAGCTACTGTAGCCTTGTTCCGTGGCTGTGAAAAAATGCGAAGGCGACTGATGGAGGCTTGTGGCAATGCGAGGGCGTCCTAAACTTCGGACTCAGTGGTGAGGCCAAGGCCCGACTGAAAGCCAGCAACCGTCAGGCCTGGGATCCGCTGGGGGATCCGCTGGGCTTTGAGGGCTTATCAGACTGCTGCTTGCTGTCCATGCCATGCATGCCATGCCACATTCCGCAGGCAGAGGAAGATGCCGATCGAAGCAAAGAGCTGGCGGAGGCGATGTCGTCGAATTGTGTTCAAGCATTCCGTTGCAAGCCGAGGGGACTTGGGGGAGGCTCGTAATTGATGTGATGACATGGCGCATGGCCCTTGAAAGGAGCTCCGGGCCAAGTATCGCCAGCACTACGGCCATGAGCCAAAGGACGGCGCAACTTGCCCCAAAACAGCCGAAGGGTATCGGGCTACGGATGCAGATGCAGCAGCACGTTTGAGGCACAGCTGCGGAGTTTCGCATCGCGCCTCGGCCACGAACTGCCCTTCCGGGCCGCTGCTCGCGTGCTGGCGAAGTGAAGAAAAGCATGCTGCTTTCATCGCCTTTGCACAAACTGCGCCGACGATCGCGGGATTCTAGTGCTAGTGGTCTCCGGGACGAGCAGCCATGATAATGGTTACACAGCAGAGCGCGCCGGAGCCGGGACCCGACCAAAAAGAGAAATGCACCGAATCATCGCCGGGCTCCGGCACTCTTTGCAACAGCTACACTGCCATCGAACGTCCAGTTGGAAAGAGCACAGGCCTCGGACTCAACAAGAGCAAACAGCATGATTGTGGAACATGGCATGGGGAGGCATGAAACCAATATGTCCAGCTGCTTCTAGTGCAGAGCGGGGAAGGACTTTTTTTTTGGTGGTGGGGCTGGGGGTTTCGGGTTTATCCGGGTTTCGGGTTTAGGGGGGAGTTGCCTACGTTCCCATAGGAAAACTTCTAGTTTGTTTATATTCCCCTAGTAAAACCAATCCTTTATCTAGTTTTAAGGTGGAAAACCAGGATTTGATCGATATGTCCATATCTACATCCAGAGACCTGTATTTGTCGATTTGTAGTAAACATAGACAAATACAGGTCTATGGATGGAGATATGGACATATCGAGAAAATCCTAGTTTTCCACCTTAAAACTAGAAAAAAGATTGGTTTTACTAGGGGAATATAAACAAACTAGAAGTTTTCCTATGGGAACGTAGGCAACTCCCCCCCAAAACCCGAAACCCCAGCCCCACCCCCAACCCCCCCCACCACCACAAAAAAAACGATTGCAAACAACAAAAAAAAAGTACACAATATCTCCACCCCCTCCAGCCCAACGAGAACTACGTAGCAACTGGTAGTAGCGGCAGTGGTAGCAGTAGCGAGAGTAGGAGTAGTCGCAGCAGTAGTAGCAGCAGTCCTCACACCAAGCTTCTGCTGATCATCTGGCTTCCCAGTCTGCAAGTGCCGGAGCTTTGTAAGCTAGAAAGTCCTTGCATGCTCCCGTCTTCTCTCTTGGCTTACTCCAGTGGGGTCGGGCCTGGACGCTCGGCAAGTGCACATGCCGCTGTATGCAGCGGACGTGCAGAGGCATGTGCAGCATGATGTCGTCACCTGCACGGGTCGCTCAGTATGGCAGATGCGAGGCTGGATGACAGACGTTGATGATCTCGAAGATCCAGGCACAGTTCCGTCAGATTTCTTGGATGCGATAGGCTCCAGGTCCGAGTACCTTGAGTTCCTGCCGTTACGGCTGCAAGGCGAGAACCCAATCGATCGGGATGTTTCGTGGTTCTCGCTGTGGCCAGTGTCCGCCTTTGCGTGCCTGTCCACTATGTCAAGACTCATACATGGCCAGGCAGTGTCAGTCAGGAATAAATGAGGATGCGGAGATTGGCGCGTTTTCAATGACGCGGGCATGGCTGCTCAGGTGCCGGAGCACAATTTTTCACCACGGCATTTTCATCCTTCTGTTTGGCATCGCTCTGCATAAAGCCCGATTTGTCCACCGCGCTGCGGATTGCAAATAGACTTGCTCTCCACTGCAGGCCAGAAGTTGTGAGCAGCTTGGGCAAGGACTGCCAAGTGCCCTGTTTTGGCATGTCGCGCGGTCGAGCTGCCCTACTGTGACAATTTCTTGTGCAGCGGGTGGTGGAGGAGAACTTGAACCTGACGGCATCTTGCACATATGCGAGCAAGTTTATACTTGGCCGGGAGACTCGGTTACGCAAGATTGCAAGCAATCGTGGTAGCCGAGAGCCGGCAGTGGCTCCTGCTATGTGGATCCAGAAAGTGTTTAATTCATTGCGTCTTAGTTTCGTTTCAGTTGTTGGTGTGTAGGTGGGTGGGAACCCATACGTTTAATTGGTTGCGTGTTAGTTGTTGTTTCAGTTTTTGGTGTGTAGGTGGTGGGAACCCACACAGAACATTTGTGGAGCGGCAACACCTGTCGGTTGTGTGATGCCTTGGGTTGTCAATATTCAGAAAATCTTTCTCAAGAACTTCCATGATGTGCGGAAAGGTACCTGCGCGGGAGTTAGTGTGCAAGTGTGTCATCTGGGGTTTTGTCGAGCAGGCTGTCAAGGACAAGGTGCAGCAATGCTCATTTTACAATGTCCACGGCCCATGCTGCGCGCAGTTGTCCTTCGAATGGATCTTCCACCTGCGATACTACTGGGAAGTGGATGACAGACAGCAAGGGAAAGCTGTGCGCCGGATCCGCAGCTCCTTTCCGTCTTGAGAAGCGCTTTGGAAGATGCAGAGGTCGCCCTGTCCTAGCCGAGGTCAAGTGTGTCCAGACATCAATTCCTTACGGTCGCTGCCCTGTGCCGAGTTTTTCAGAGGACGGGAAAAAGCAATGACTGATGAGCTGCTTCAGGATACGAGTACCTGGTCACCACTCCGTTGACGGATATGCACGGATCCCAGTCATGCATCCCGGTATCCCGATGAGTAGCATATCCTGACGTGCGAGCTGTGAGCTGTGCACTGCAGGTGCTGCATCACTCTGATGGGCCCTCAGAGGTTCTCCGGCAGGTCCGGCTGGAACTGGGGCGCGCATGTTCGGGGCGGGGTGTGCGAAGATGCTGCCAGTTCAAGCGTTGCACTTCTTCACAGCCGCCTAGACTCCTAGACCTTGGCCTCCTGCAGTGTTTTGACGCTCGCTCACTTGCGCTTGGTCGGCTCCTCTACGCTTTGTTCTTTGAGGGTCACCACGTCAGGCTCTGGGCTGATCTGCAGTATGTTTCGACAATGCCAAAGACATTTCTGAACGTCCTACAGAAAACGTAGCGTCTTGCTTTGAGGTGTGATTGGGTAGGATTTCAACAGGCCAATATGCCGAGATGAGCTGCTCTTGCTGATATGAAACTCAGGCTTTGAATGTGTCCTGTCTAGAACTTTCTGCATCTACTCGATGCGTTGCCACGTGCTCTTTGACGTCAGAAACATCGCAATTTGAGAGTATCTTGGTTCATTGACCAGTTTTTGACATGAGGTATTCATTGTTGCGGTTGCAGGCAAATGTGCAAGCACGAGATTGCAACATACATTGATCGCATGTGCAAGTGCTTCGCTATGTCAAGATCTTCAGTGTGACTTGCGCTTGCTGCATGATCCTGCTGCTGATGCATAATGTAGAGGTCGTTTTCAATACCTTGGCTTTTTACCAGCGGGCCAGAATTTCCGGGCGCAAGAGGTTTTCAGTTCGCCTCGGCCAGGCCGAAGCGGTCACCTCTTATATAGTCTTAATTCCCGCCCCAAAGACCACCCACCCACCTTACACACCCCAAATTTCACCCGCCCCCCCGCCTCAAAATTGGATTTTGGTTGGCCGGATTTAGGTGGGCCCTAGGGTTTAGGGCCTAGGGTTTGGGCCCTAGAGTTTAGGGCCTAGGGTTTGGGCCCGAGGGTTTAGGGCCTAGGGTTTGGGCTGTAGCGTTTAGGGCCTAGCGCTTGGGCTGTGGCGTTTAGGGCCAGGGTTTGGGCCCCATTTAGGGCCTAAGGTTTGGGGCCTAGGGTTTAGGGCCTTCGGTTTGGGCCCCAGGGTTTGGGCCTTAGGGTTTAGGTGGCCCTGCCCTGACCTGTGGAGGAGAAACAAGGAGTGTTGGTGTGCAGCGCAGGGAACATGGACACACATTGTGGACACATGTCACATGTCCCCATAGTCAGCAGAACTTGGGTTCCGTGTGCAAGGTGGCTTAGCCTCGCTCGCAAAGGCTGACGGAGGGTGCCTTCACGCCTGAGCCTTCCAGCGCCCCTGCTTTTGTGAGGGCCGAAATGTCCGAAATCATTGGCACTCCGGTGCTCGAGGTTGCAACCCTGAACGGCAGAATGCAGCAACTCGTACAGATGGTGTCGGCGTATCGACAACAAATGTTTTGCAAGTATAAGCGGAAGCACATTCTCGTATTGCCTTCTGCCACGGACTATTCAGTCTGGTGCGCAATTGGAGTCCGTTTACCGATGTGGCTTCCCTTCAGGCTCCTTTTTGCTCAAGAGCGGCTGCCAGCAGCTTCCTTGCTTTGCTCAGATGGCATTGATCTCAGAACCGTTACATTGGTCTGGCTCCCGGCATGTGCGATCCTTGACCAGTTGTGAAGACGGCTTTGATCCAAGGCTCAAAGGCCCCTCACCGACCAGGAAGCCCGCCTTTTGGAGCAAGACGGATATGAAGCCAAGTGGTTAGTTGCAGCATTTAGAGCATGTGCCGTCATGCATATCGCAGACTACGCTTATGGCTTGGGCGAATGATACTGCCAGGGCCTGCAGGCAAGCAGGCCATCTTTTGCTGCCTCACTCCAGCAAAACTCGTGTTGTTGTGAAATGATGTTCAAAAATGATGGCTGCCGTGAGATGGGCGGTGATCAGGCATCAAAGCTGCTGTGGTGATTCTGGCTTGCCTCGCTTCGGCACTTGGTTGCTTTGTGCAGCTGCCAGGATTTGCCATATCCTGTTGCGTCTTCCACTGCGGGCAGCATGCGACAGGTATTGGTGCGAGCCCGTGCTGGGAAGCAATTATGTGGATCACATGGCGAGGCCTGGGCTAAACGACTTTTCCAGAGAGGTCTGACCTTGTGGCACGTGAATCATCAACGTTATACTCGCAAGAGCATGAGCTTGCTCCGATAATACAGGCATGTCCATGCAATGCGGCGGACAGGCATCAGCCAGCAGAGATACATGCAGTCCGGGCCGTGACGCGAGAAGAGGGCATGTGCGAGTAGAGATGTGCCTACCTGCGCTGCGGCGTAGTGCCATGCGGCAGGCGGGGAACCGGGGGGGGGCGGGGCGGGGGACGTTTAGCAAGAAAAAGCAAAGCTGACACGCTTGGCAATTCAAGAAAAAGGAGAAAGAGAAAGTAGCATAGAAGTAGTGACTAGTGAAAGCTACAAAGAATATGTCACAAACTGAGCGCGGAGGGATGGTTTGTTCAGGATGGAGAAGACCTGCGCTTGGTGGAGGAGGGCTTGCGTCGTGAGTACACGACTGAGATAGGGCCAGAAGCAGATGTGCTACTTGGTTCACATCTTCAATCAGTGATTTTTTGAATTCTTTGGTTCTTAGTAGTATTTTTGTTCCATCATGTATGGGAGCGCTCCCAAGGACGTGGTTCCTTGATGGGAATGTGGGGCTTCACATTGGTGCGGTGCTAGGGTCTGGTGCCTCCGCGACCGTCCGGAAGGGCAAGTTGTCTTCAACCGGAAAGGTCGTTGCGGTGAAGGAGGTCCTGGCTGGCTGCAGACACCTCCAAGCGCCAACAGCTCTTGCAGAACATTCGAGCCCTTACTTCCGTGCCTTGTCATCCCAATCTGCTTGGATTCAAGGCTGCACTCTTTTGATAGTGCTAGAGTTCGTGGATTCAAGGAAGCTGGCGTACAAAATCCTGTCAAGACCCCGGCCAGCTACACGCGACAGATCCTGCGTGGGCCTGATTTCCTCCAGTACTTACGCATCCTGCACCGCGACACACAAGAGCCATGGGCAGGTCAAGATTGCCGATCTTGGCATCGCAAGATGGTTGCGGCAAGAGGAGGACCATGTCAGCACCATGTTGGGAACCGAAGCTCGTCATGGCTCCCGAGCAGTTCTTTGGGGACTACACATTCGTTGCCGATGTGAGGGCTGTGGGCTGTCTATTCATGAACTTGTGCAGGGCTTGAATGCATTTGCGGGTTGCAAGTCGGACAACGAGTTTTGGACCAAGCTAGGGGATGCCTCCTTGCCCTCCATCCCCATGGCCCCCGATCTCAACAATTTTGTTTCTCAGCGCCTGGTTCCACAGCCGGACGAAAGAGCCACCACTGATGAGTTGCTGCAACATTCTTTCGTTACATCATGTGCGTGGCAGTGTGGAGGAAGCTGAAGTCAGACTAGGGCTTTCCGTGGGAAGGAAGCTTTGGTAGTACTCGAGGAGACGTTGTGGGGGAGGGGGTTGTTTATCTGTATGAATTCAGCGTTCTGTGCTGTGGAGAAGGAAGCCCTTCGGGAACTGGCTTGCGCTGCGGGCAACCTCGGGCACTGCGGTGCGTGCAAGGGAACCCTGGCCAAAAAAAATTCACAAATGCCGGCGACCAATCGTTTTATCAACACCGAAACCTTAAAAACCAACACGTAAGTTTGAATACCACCAGAGACAAGAGGTGTGTCACCCACCGGAGGGTTGAGGAGCTCAACTTACGTAATATATAAATGATATTCATGATCCCCCCCGGGTTGTTTTGTGCGGGGGTCTCTTGCGGCAGGGTTTGGGTTGAGGGTGGCAATAATAAACCTCTGGCCGTGTCCGGTGCTGTAGTAATAGTAGTAATCAGTAGTAATGGTAGTAATTAGGTAGCAAGAAGTAGTAGTAGTAGTATAGTAGTAGTAGTAGTAGTAGTAGCAGTAGTTGTAAGTAGTAATAGTAGTAACAGCAGCGACAGTAGTAATAGCGAGCTGGTAGTTCAGTGCCGTGCCTGCCGAACTGCACTCTACTGGATGGGTTTCGAGTCCTCGTAATTTGAGCTTTTGGTAGTTACTTTGCCTGGCTCCTAATTTTTTGGGAATCTGGGCCCGGAATGTTTTTATTGTCACCCCTTTTGCTGTTGCGAACCAATCTCCAGGGCCATTTGTTTGGGCATTTTGGCTGCGGAATTCAAAATCATCTTGCGCCCGGAAATTCTGGCCCGTGGAATATTTTTATTGTCACCCTGATATCGCACCAACATTAGCTAAAAAGCCAAGAAGCGGCAAGGGTTTGTGTTTTGATACTTTGGAATGCAGGTCTCTGGAGAAGTTAGGGTTTCACCAAAGCACTACAGAACCGCGGGAGGCAAAGCTCCTGCTCGCGGAGCTCTCGGAGCAGGTCTTCGAGCATCGCTTTGCCCAGACACAGGCTTTTGGACTGCTTTTGTAAACAGTGTTGCTGATGCCGGTAGACAGTTTGGCACGACTGGACAAGGGGTGTGTATGGCTTGAAACCAGGTGTTCTGCCAGGAAGTCGCGAAGGCCGTGAGGGTATGTGTCAAGGAGACAGGTGTGGACAAACCGTTCTCTGCCAAAGTCACTTCCGAGATGATCGCCCGCGGCAAATACATGCTGCGCCATTTCGGACCTGTGTCCGAGAACTGTGCCTTGTTGCTGGATGGATACGTCGCAGGAGGAACTGCAGTGACCAGCGCCCGCCGCAACTTCCCCAAGCATTCCTTGCAGTAGCGCACGGATCTGTCACCAGCCCCTCAGACCGACTCAGAGCCTTTTGTGAACATTTCCCGGCACCGTTTTTCAATACCAATAGCAATTCGGCTGAATGTAGAGAAGCTTCTGGCTGCATTGGAGGGACCAGCTTTTCGAGTTGAGAAGAAGCTCGATCCTACAGGCAAAGACAAGGATGATACCGTGCCACTGATTCCACAGTTCGGTGAGCCGAAGCCAGGTGCAGGTTCCACTTGTAGTGCAAGCGGAGACGGCCATGGGTGCTGCTATTTTCTTACTTCCAGATGCACAGGCCGTCGGGGTCCCTTCAGACTGTTTCTTTCCAGTTAATTTAAAAAGACTACAATGCTGCGAAGTGATGTCTTCGTGGTGGCCAAAGACTGCACTGATATCCCACTTTTTTCGAATGGTCTGAACGCAGTCGTGGAAATGCCAAGGAACTCAAGGGCGATCGTTCAAGTCTCTAGCAAGTCTCCTCAAGCACTGGGAATCCCATGAGACACATGGTGCAACATGGAAAGCTGGCATACTTTGCTGGACCCACTTATTGGAACACAGGCATTCTGATTCTGTCACGAACATGGCGGAACCCAGTCAGTGATCCCACACTGAGTTGTCGCGGCAATGACCGGCCCAATGAGGTCATAGAGATCGGCAGTTCATCCATTGTGCAAGGCATCATCAAGGAGGTGAAGCCGTCGGGGCTGCCAGTGATTTCCCAAGGCATGGTGCTCTGCAAGCTCTTTGCCATATGTCTTGACGACCCGCCTTCGCCAAGCAGCTGCAGGCGTAGTGCAAACGGGTGGTTGCGCGCGGCATTCGGAAGTGGTTCCGCTGGTGAAAATGGGTGGCCCAAGGGTTATCATCGTGTCCCAGTTGCTGTACTTGTCACTGAGTTCTGAGCAGCTTTTTGCATTTTGCATTTTTGATCGTCCTGCAGCTTTCTTGACAAGGGCTGCAGTGAAGCAGAAGGACGTAGTGGCGTAGCGATTGTGGCCGCAGTGCCAGCGCGAAAGGCCCACCCGTGGTGCGTGTAGTGTAGTGTCGTACGCATGTCATTTGTCGATCCTGATGTCCATGCCCAGGCCGCCAAGCGCAGACTGCGAAATCACAAAGCAATGGCGGGGATCTCAGCTTCGACGCTTATGAGGGATCAGCTGGCAGCAGCAGTAGACACCATTTCGAATGATTGGAGCTGGGAGAACGCTCGTGAACAAAAGTCACCGCTTGGGATGGAGGGAGATGGGATTGGAGTAATGGGAAACGAATCGATGGTTTGCGGCCAGTTGAGTGGCTCAGCAAGACAACACCAGAAATGCAGCGACAGCTAAAGGTAGCAACAACTGGAGGAGGACGATGGCTACAATGGCAACGGCGGCAGCAATAATAATCAGCAGGAGCATGCAGCCGCGACGAAACAACCACCAAAACCAGCGCGACCAGCGCCACCGCCTCTACTGTCATCACCAAAAGCAGCAGCCACTGCCGCCGCGGCGTCATCGTCAAAGTTGGAAAAAGTGACAACGAAATCACATACTGCATATCACGCTGCAATTTGGATCTCCCTCCTCCCTCTCCTCCACTCGACACGCTTCATGAGCTTCCGCGCAGCCCTCCTTTCAAGCTACAGGTAAACGCCCAAATCACTCCACAGAATTGGGAATATGCTTATGCTTTTGTTGTGCCTGTGTTGCGTCACTGACTGATCTGGGCGCTCCCCAACACGGGCATTTACAGGCGCCACTGCAGGAGATCATGGCAATCCGCAGATCTGGTGAGGCAGGAGCACGGAACAAGCTGTTGCACATCAAGTTCAGCGCATTGTGCAATCAGGAATTCGCGACACATCTGGAGTACTATGCACGGATCCTGGCCACAAGTAAATGAGTGGCGGCCGTTGACTGAAAAGTTTCCGAGGTCATGAGAGCCAAGTGGAGAAAGAAGGGTTTGGATTCGGCTGGGCCTTTTGCCGGACACCTACGTTCCGTTGCTGGTTGCTGCTCTGACCTCGTTGTGGCAAATTCTCTTGCATCACCAGGCAAGCTCCTGTTCCGTGGCAAAGCTTGTCAACAACGCGGGCGTCAGGCTGTGCAGGCATGTGTGTCATTGGCCGCCGAGCAGCATCGAGATTTAGCAACATGAATCTTGAAGTCTCAGAATGCGCATCTGTGACATTCCCGGATTCATCAAGGTCCCACTGCTTTCAGCGCACTTGTGGCTCAAAATAGGCCGTGAGGTTGTGTTGCGAGGGCCTGAGAGAGCTCTGTCAGGATTTGCGGGCTATGCTTGAAGGGTGGTGCATGCGTCTGCCCAAACCAGGTGCTGTCTCCCATTTTTTCACCTTTGCATGAAAACTTCCAGCCTCTTGCTGAGGATGATTGTATTGCGTCGCTGCCGCGTTGCTGCAAAGAGCATGGTGAGAAGCAACGAGGTGACACTTCTTCCGCTGGGCGCAGAAATCGTCAACAGCTGAGCTGGGCTAGCGGGCTGAAGCGGCTGTCAGTAGGCTTTGTCTTTGGACCACCAGTCCTTGCATCGCCCAGTGTTCCTGACCAATCAAGTGGCGCCAAGGAAGTTAAGGAGTTTGAAGCAGATTGCCACCTTGGTTTGCGTCTTAGAGTCCAGTCGCTCAGGTCAAGATCGATCGACGTGTTTTCGGCTCATCTCAGCGGCAGGTGCGGCAGGCCGCAAATGCAGAGACGTATATATGTAATTATCCACGTATGTTTGCTTGTATGATCTTGTATGCACGCGTGTGTGTGTGTGTGTGTGTGTATATATATATATATATATATACATTACATGGGTCACCGCCTATACGAGGCCTTATGCTATGGTGTTCGCATATAGACCGTGAAACCAATGTTTTTCCCTATGGTTCAGCGTGATTGGTAGACCAATAAACCAACAAACACAAAACATGCTCATGCATCGTCATCTAGAGTCATCTGGAGAAGCTGGTGATGGAACTTGCATAAGACAAAGATCCTATTTTCGTTGGGGTCCATGTATATATATATATATAGAGAGAGAGAGAGAGAGAGAGAGAGAGAGAGAGAGAGAGAGAGAGAGAGAGAGAGAGAGAGAGAGAAAGAGAGAGAGAGAGAGAGCCTCCTCTTATATATATATATGTATATATGTATATATGTATATATGTATACATACATATATATATATATATACATACATGCATACATATATATATATATATATATATACATATACATATATATATATATATGTATGTATGTATGTATATGTCTACATACATATATATACATACATACATATATATATATATATGTATATACATATGTGTATATATATATATATATATATATGTATATATATATATATACCGGTATACCTTAAGAGGAACTGTTATCTTACTTCGGCTTACTGCAAGCTGTTCAGGTTAAGCAATAAGGAGTTTCAAGGTGAAGCCCTTAAGTAACCTCCTGCTTTTTTGATCAGAATCTCAACTCGGTCTCCCAAGAAGCCCAACTGGTGGCCAGCAGGGCATGGAAACCTCTACGCAATGCTCCTCGCTGGATCCTTGAACTACCTCTCGAAGGAAGGCTACAAGCGTCCGGGTAGCAAATTATCTGTCAGCCATGTGAAAGCAGGGGTGCAATGCAAACCCGAGCTTTAAGGTACATGTTTGTCGCGAACTGTGACAACTTGGGCACTTCGGTGAAGATGCGCCTTCTGGCGCACATGTCCAACTCTGGCGCATCTATGCTTCTGGAGGCTAGGACCAGATACTTGCTGTTGGATCATGTACACCGCAAACCATCCCGTGAGAACGGTTACGTTGCTGCCACACTGTGAGGACTACATTCGTGGTGAAGAGGATAAGCTGGCAGACATCTCTGCCGATGCTAAGTTCACACTGCGGGAGAGCGCCCAAGTCCACGAGCAAGATGAGCAGCCTTTTTGTGGATACTTCCCGGCACCGTTTTTTCAATACCAACAGCACTTCGGCTGAATGTAGAGAAGCTTCTGGCTGCATTGAAAGGACCGGCTTTTCGAGCTGCCACTCATCGCAAATGAGAAGAAGCTGGATCCTACAGGCAAAGACAGAGATGATACCGTGCCACTGATTCCACAGTTCGGTGGGCCAAAGCCAGGTGCAAGTTCCACTGTAGTGCAAGTGGAGACGCCAGGGGTGCTGCCGTTTCTTTATTTCCAGATGCACAGTCCATCGGGGTCCCTTCAGACTGTGTCTTTCCAGTTAGAAGGACTGCGCAACTGCCGGTGCTGCGAAGTGATGTCTTCGTGATGGCCAACGACTTCACTGATGTCCCACTTGTTTCGAATGGCATGAACGCAGTCTTCGACATGCTAAAGAACTCAAGCGCAATCGTTGAAGTCTCCTCAAGCACTGGGAATCCCATGACATGGAAAGCTGGCAATTTTGCTGCACCCACTTACTGGAACACAGGCATTCTGATTCTGCCACGAACATGGGGGAACCCAGTCGGTGATCCCACACTGAGTTGTCGCGGCAATGACCGGCCCAATGAGGTCATAGAGCTCGGCAGTTCATCCATTGTGCAGGGCATTATCAAGGAGGTGAAGCCGTCGGGGCTGCCAGTGATTTCCCAAGGCATGGTGCTCTGCAAGCTCTTTGCCATATGTCTTGACGACCCGCCTTCGCCAAGCAGCTGCAGGCGTAGTGCAAACGGGTGGTTGCGCGCGGCATTCGGAAGTGGTTCCGCTGGTGAAAATGGGTGGCCCAAGGGTTATCATCGTGTCCCAATTGCTGTACTTGTCACTGAGTTCTGAGCAGCTTTTTGCATTGTGCATTTTGGATCGTCCTGCAGCTTTCTTGACAAGGGCTGTAGTGAAGCAGAACCTTAGCCTTGGAACTCACCGGGTCGGCAGTGCGCAGCAAACCCAAGAGCCGCAGCTACTACGACGAAACCGACGACGCAGGGTTAGTACGACCTAGTGGTGCTGTTACTGTTATCCTGATAAAACGACAGTAGAAACCACTGTGAAATCAATGCTCTTGCTCTCGGGCTTCTGCCCTCTTCCCGACCTTCAAGTCAGATGCGTGCATTGATTAATTACAGCTGGCCGACAACAGCCGCTTCGGCTCGATTGCTTTGAAAAGCAAAGCCAGCCGGCCGCCTCGGCCGCAGCACGGAATGACTAACAGGCCCGGCCTTTTGTAGTAGTCATTTTTGACCTCCAATCGGCGAGCACTTCAAGAACAGGGCCGTGGTCAAGTTCGCAGTGGAGCAGCTGTGGCGTTCTGGAGATCCGGCTCAGGCTTCCAATGGAGACTAGGGCTGCCAGGGTTCGTGATTGCGATTCGGCGGTTTCGGCTATCAATATGTCTCACAGAGGCGGCCATGGCGGTCGGCAAGGAGGCGACATCTTTGCAAGGGGTGCCTTGATCTGTTGGCATTGGTTGTGATTGTCTGCATTCTGTACAGGCGCTCCGATCCGGATCTCAAGACAACTTGTCTTGCGCGATTCTGCTTTCGGGCACACAGACGGTCCCAGCCTCTGTTGTCCGAGAGTGCTTTCACCCGCCGTTGTTTTTCGGATCCAGACTAAAACTTTGATTCTTCGGCGTCAGGTCGGCTTGCACCAGCAAAGAATGCAGTGCCGTCTACACATGCAGGAAGAAGGATTGCAGTAGGAGTAGGCGTCGGAGTAGGAGGAGCAGTTTGCAGTAGTAGTCGTCGTCGCCGCAGAATCGTGGCAGGAGGAGTAGGAGTGGGAGTAGGAGTAGGAGTAGGCGTAGGGGTAGGGGTAGGGGTAGAGGTCGGGGTAGTGGTAGTAGTAGCATAAGTAGTCGCAGTAGCAGCAGCAGTCGTAGTAGTAGCAGTAGTAGTAGTAGTAGTAGTAGTACCCGCCACCGTGTTTACCGTACCCCTAAATATTGAAAAACGCAGCTGCCGCTGTGGTGGCGTGCTTATTTCAGTGTATTTTGGAAGTACGCAAATGACAAGGCTGTTTTGCGTTTTGTGTGGGAGGCGTTGCTCGAAAAGGTTTACGCGCGTGTGTTGTGACAACGTGTCTTGCTCCACATCCTTGTGCAGCATGTTGTACCAAGAGCCCAAAATGCTGTAAATACCAGCGTTTTGGGCATGATCGCCAAAGGCAGTGACATGAACATCAACCTGACCATCTTCATCATCATCATCTCATAACCATCATCCTCGCCATGCTCAACATCATCGTTTACCTGATCATCTTCATCATCATCCTCATAGTCATCATCCCTATCATCATCCTCATAATCGTCGTCATCATCAACATAAGGCCGGTGATGCAGTTAACGATGATGTTGAAGATGGCGAAGATGATGGTTATGCTGAAGATGGTCAGGTTAATGTTCATGTGATTGCCTTTGGCGGTCATGCCCAAAACACTGGTATTTACAGCATGTTTGGCTTTTTGTACATGCTGCACAAGAATGTGGAGCAAGACACGTTGTTACAAGCATCCTACCACTGCTACTGCTACCGGCGCTACTGTGTTACTGCTTACGGTCAACCATGTCGTTATTAGCCCCCCTCCCCCCCCCCGTTACTGCTTACGGTCAACCATGTCGTTATTATCCCCCCCCCCCCAGTCCCCAGTAGCCGATTTCACGGGTACGGTAAACACGCCGCTGGCTAGTAGTAGTAGCAGTAGTAGTAGTAGTAGTAGTAGTAGTAGTGGTAGTGGTAGTGGTAGTGGTAGTGGTAGTACTAGTACTAGTACTAGTACTAGTACTAGTACTAGTACTAGTACTAGTACTAGTACTAGTACTAGTACTAGTAGTAGTAGTAGTAGTAGTCGTCGTCGTCGTAGTAGTAGTCGTAGTAGTAGTCGTAGTAGTCGTAGTAGTAGTAGTAGTAGTAGTAGTAGTAGTAGTAGTAGTAGTAGTAGTGGTGGTGGTGGTAGTAGTAGTAGTAGTAGTAGTACTAATAAGGGCCGGAGCAGCAGCAGGAGTAGGAGCAGGAGCAGGGGTAGGAGCAGCAGCTGCAGCAGCCGTACTACAGTAGTAGTACCCCCTCCTCGTCGTAGTGGTAATCGCAGTCGCAGTAGCCCCTCCCCGTCGTAGTCGTCATCGCGGTCGCAGTCGCAACCGCAGTCACAGTTGCGCCCGCAGCAGCAGTCGCAATGGCAGTAGCCGCAGCAGCAGCACTGGCAGCCGCACGTTAGCTGGTAGCTTCGCACGGAGAGAGAGGGAGAGAGAGAGAGAGAGAGAGAGCGAGAGAAGCAAGAGGGAGACAGAGAGAGAGGGAGAGAGAGAGAGAGAGAGAGGGAGAGCGAGAGGGAGACAGAGAGAGAGAGAGAGAGAGAGGGAGGGATACAGAGAGAGAGGGAGAGGGAGAGCGAGAGAGAGAGGGAGAGAGAGGGAGAGCGAGAGAGAGAGATAGAGAGAGACAGAGACAAAGGGGGACACAGTCACTGTAATGAAAATGCATGTGTCGATCAAAACAGTTGAGAAACCCTGATAATCAAGAGACCTATATAAACCTTCTGCATATCAGGGGGACTCACTGTCTTATCAGACCCTTCCACACGCCCCACAACACATGGGGGGCCTATGAGGCCGGGGGGCTTAACACGCTCCCCAAGCCCTGCGGAAGAAGAGAGAAAGAGGGAGAGAGAGAGAGAGAGAGGGCGAGAGAGCGAGAGAGCGAGAGAGCGAGAGAGCGAGAGGAAGACAGAGAGAGAGAGAGAGAGAGAGAGAGAGAGAGAGAGAGAGAGAGAGCGAAAGAGAAAGACAGTGCATGGAGGGGTGACTTTGGTGGGAAAGTGACATTTCAATTAAGGACAAGGCTATCGCGGACCTGTCCGAGCAACTCCCTGAAACCCGCGGAGGTTGCGAGCTTCAAGCTTTCATGCTGACCCCTGTGGATACCAATATGCCCATGTGAGGCCTGAAGCCGATGTATTTGTGGCGCAGCCTCCGCGGCAAGGTGCAGGAGGCTACTCGTGGCAGTATCATTTTTGATACTGCCACGGGTGAGATTCTCGGAGCCGCTACGTGGGGTCCCACGTCTGGTGGGCTCCACTTGGCGGCTGTGTGCAGCAAGCTGCACGAAGGCAGCGGCCAAGACTTCTTGGCCATGCTCCAGGACGCGCCTTCCCTTTGTTTCTAACCCAAGGGTAGCACAGACACAGACAGACAGACACGCACACACACACACACAAGTTTCTTAGCTCGGCGTTCGCATTTGCGAAAAGGGCAAATTTTGGGTGTTGCAGTTCGGTTTTCGCATTTGCGCAAAGGGCTATTTAGTGGTCCCACTGCCATGGCACAGAGGCTGAGGAAAGAGTTTCTTGGCTCGGCTTTCGCTTTCGCATTTGCGGAAAGGGCAAACTTTGGGTGTTGCAGCTCGCCTTTCGCATGTGCGCAAAGGGCTTTAGGTCCCACTGCCACGGCACAGAGGCTGAGGAAAGAGTTTCTTGGCTCGGCTTTCGCATATGCGGAAAGGGCAAATTTTGGGTGTTGTGCAGCTCGGCCTTCGCATTTGCGCAAAGGGCTTTAGGGGTCCCACTGCCACGGCACAGAGGTTGACGAAAGAGTTTCTTGGCTCGGCTTTCGCATATGCGGAAAAGGCAAATTTGGGTGTTGCAGCTCGGCTTTCGCATTTGCGCAAAGGGCTTTAGGGGCCCCGCTGCCACGGCACAGAGGCTGACGAAAGAGTTTCTTGGCTCGGCTTTCGCATATTCGGAAAGGGCAAATTTTGGGTGTTGCAGCTCGGCTTTCGCAGTCGGGGTCCCATTGCCACGGCACAGAGGATGAGGAAAGAGTTTCTTGGCTCGGCTTTCGCTTTCGCATTTGCGGAAAGGGAAAACTTTGGGTGTTGCAGCTCGCCTTTCGCATTTGCGCAAAGGGCTTTAGGGGTCCCACTGCCACGGCACAGAGGCTGACGAAAGAGTTTCTTGGCTCGTCTTTCGCATTATTTGCGGAAAGGGCAAATTTTGCTTGTTGCAGCTCGGCCTTCGCATTTGGGCAAAGGGCTTTAGGGGTCCCACTGCCACGGCACAGAGGCTGAGGAAACAGTTTCTTGGCTCGCAAATTTTGGGTGTTGCAGCGCGGCGCAAAGGGCTTTAGGGGTCCCGCTGCCACGGCACAGAGGCTGAGGAAAGAGTTTCTTGGCTCGGCTTTCGAGGCAAATTTTGGGTGTTGCAGCTCGGCTTTCGCAATAGGGGTCCCACTGCCACGGCACAGATTTCGCAGTCGGGGTCCCATTGCCACGGCACAGAGGCTGAGGAAAGAGTTTCTTGGCTCGGCTTTCGCATTTGCTCAAAGGGCAAGTTTGG